TCCAAAGGCCATTTTAAGCGAAAACCCACAAAAGGGCTTAGAAAGATATCGAAAAACCTCGGGACACAAAAGAAGGGTCAATCTAGACCAAACTCGACATTCCGGAGCTTACCGCGCTGCGGAATTCTTATCCGAGTGCGTTTACTAAGAATTTTGACCAAAGTCAAACTTAAGCTTAAACTTAAAGTTAAAACGCCTAATCGCACTGACTCACACTGAAAACCTTGGGAGTCATGTCGACCATGCCACCAGCGTAAAATGACCCTTCCGGAGCTGATGGAATCGTCAGAATTGGATTCCGATGTCATCTTCTTGAACTTTTGTTCGAAAATGATCGTTCAAGGTTCATAAGCTCCAAAACACAAAAACTCGCACCAAGACCAAACGAAAGACCAGGTGACCAAACTGTCAGTCCCAGCAAGTCATAAATGACTTGGGGTCGCTACAGGAGCGCTCTAAACGACACACAGAAGGCAAGACACAGAAATGACCTGGAGGGTCATTACAATATCCACTACTAAAAAGGACTTTCGTTCACGAAAGTAAGGGTCAAGAAATACCTGAAGGCTCAAACAAGCTGGGAAACTGCGCTCGCATGTCCTACTCGTTCTCCCAGGTAGCCTCCTCGACTGGACGATGCCTCCAATGTACCTTAACAACAGGAATGGCTATCGAGCGCAATCTCCTCACATCTCTGTTTAGAATTGCAACTGGCTCCTCTACAAAAGTCAAACAATCATCAAACTCGACTGCATCATACTGGAGCACATGGGACTCATCAGGAACATACCGCTGCAACATCGAGACATGGAAAACCGGGTGGATATCTGAAAATGTTGGAGGTAGGGCCAACTCATAAGCAACTTCCCCAACTGTCTGGAATATCTCAAAAGGCCCAATGTACCTGGGGTTAAGCTTGCCCCCGCCTCCCAAACCTCATCACGCCCTTATTGGGCGACACACGGAGGAATACCCGATCACCAACAGAGAATCTCAAAGGTCGGCGCCTTCGATATGCATAACTCTGCTGCCTACTCTGAGTCGTCTTAAGCCTATCCTGAATCACCCTCACCTGATCCAGGGCCTCCTGAAGCAAATCTGTACCACGCGGCCTAAGTTCTATAGACTCAAACCAATCAACTGGAGAGCTACAATACCTACCATATAATGCCTCGAATGGGGCCATCTGAATACTAGAGTGGTAGATGTTGTTGTACACAAAATCCGCCAAAGGTAAGAATTGGTCCCACTGACCTCTAAAATCCATAACACATTCTATAGACTCAAACCAATCAACTGGAGAGCTACAATACCTACCATATAATGCCTCGAATGGGGCCATCTGAATACTAGAGTGGTAGATGTTGTTGTACACAAAATCCGCCAAAGGTAAGAATTGGTCCCACTGACCTCTAAAATCCATAACACAGGCCCGCAACATATCCTCAAGGACCTAAATAGTATGCTCCGACTGGCCATTCATCTGCGGGTGGAAAGATGTGCTAAGGTCAACCCGAGTGCCCAACTCATCTTGAAAGGTCCTCCAAAAGCTGGACGTGAACTGAGAACCCCGATCTGATATAATAGAAACTGGCACCCCATGAAGTCGAACCACCTCCCGAATGTAGATACGAGCCAACCTCTCGGCGCTAAATGAACACTGAACAGGAAGGAAATGTGCTGACTTGGTCACCTAGACGTTAATTGAGAACTCCGATCTGATATAATAGAAACAGGCACGACATGAATTCGAACCACCTCCCGAATGTAGATACGAGCCAATCTCTCGGCGCTAAATGAAGACTGAACAGGAAGGAAATGTGCTGACTTGGTCAATCGATGAACGATGACCCAAATGCTGTCAACACCTTTAGAAGTCCGAGGCAAGCCCACAATGAAGTCCATAGTTATACGCTCCCACTTCCACTCCGGAATGGGTAATCTCTGAAACTCACCACCAGTCCTCAAATACTCGAACTTTACCTGCTGGCAGCACAAGCAACGGCAAATAAAGTCGGCAATATCTCTCTTCATGCCACTCCACCAGTAATGCTGCCTCGAATCCCGATACATCTTCGCTGTGCCCGGATGGATAGAGTATCTAGACTCATGTCCCTCAGAGAGTATCAATTTGATCATATCCCCAACTCTCGGAACATAGATACGGCCGGTGAATCTCAACACTCCATCAGGATCTAAGGTTGCCTGACCACCATCACCCACTAACACTCGATCTCTAAAAGCCGTCAAGGCCTCATCCTCAAACTGACAACCATGGATCCCATCAAGCAAGGAACACTGAACTCTTATATGGGCCAAGACCCGTTTGGGATCTGAGATATCCAACTAAACCATGCTATTGGCTAAGAACTAAATTTCCATAGCCAAGGGTCGCTCCTCAACAGATAAGAAGACTAGACTACACATACTCACCGCCTTTCGGCTCAAGGTGTCCGCTACCACATTTGCCTTGCCCGGATGATAGAGAATAGAGAGGTCATAGTCCTACAGGAGCTCAATCCAACGACGCTGCCTCGAATTAAGGTCCCTCTGGCTCATGATGTACTGAAGACTCCTGTGATCAGTATAGATCTCACATCGAACTCCATACAAGTTGTGCCTCCAAATCTTAAATACGAAAACTACCGCCGCCAACTCTAACTCATGGGTGTGGTAGTTGCGCTTATGAATCTTAAGCTACCTTGACGCATAAGCAATAACCCGGCCCTACTGCATCAATTCACAACCCATACCAACGCCAGATGTGTCACAATAAACCGTGAAGCTCTCCCCCTCAACTGGAAGTGTCAATATAGGAGCGGTGGTCAATAACTACTTGATCCTCAAAAAGCTCGCCTCACACTTCTGTGACCAAACAAAGGGAACATCAACACGAGTCAACCGGGTCAGAGGTGCTGCCAAGGTAGAGAAACCCTCTAGAAATCATCTGTAGTAGCTTGCAAGTCCGACGAAGCTCCGAATCTCAGTAACTGAGGTAGGCCTAGCCCAATCACGAATAGCCTCAATCTTCTCCGGATCTACCATAATGTCCTCCTTAGATACAACATGCCCCAAGAACGCCACAGAGTCTAACCAAAACTTGCACTTTGAGAACTTGGCATAAAGCCACTGATCTCTCAAAGTCTGGAGCACCACTCTCAAATGCTGCTCATGATCACCCCAACTCCACGAATATATAAAAATGTCATCAATGAAGACTATGACTAAGAAAACAAGATAAGGCCTGAACACGCGCGTCATCCAGTCCATAAAGGCGGCAGGGGATTTAGTCAACCCAAATTTCATCACCAAGAACTCATAATGGCCATAACGGGTCCTAAATACAGTCTTAGGGATGTCCACTGCACTAATCCTCAACTGGTTGTAACCGGACCTCAAATCAATCTTAGAGAACACTGAAGCCCCCTGTAGCTGGTCAAATAGGTCATCAATCCTAGGTAGAGGATATCGATTCTTCACTGTCACCTTATTCGACTGTCTATAGTCAATGCACATGCGCATAGAACCGTCCTTCTTCTTAACAAAAAGAATGGGAGAGCCCCAAGGTGATATACTAGGTCTGATAAATACCTTCCCCAAGAGATCCTTAAGATGAACACTGAGCTCCTTGAGCTCTGCAGGAGCCATTCGATATGGCGGAATAGAAATAGGCCGAGTACCTGGCTCAAGCTCAATCGGAAAATCAATATCACGCTCTGGGGGTAGGCTAGGTGGGTCTATAGGAAACATATCTAAGAAGTCACGAACAACAGGAACTGACTCAATCGGAGGAACCTCCCTACTAACATCACGTACATAGGCCAAATATGATAAGCATCCACTGGCCACTAGCCTCTTATCATGAATAAAAGAGATAACCCCAACTAGTGTGCTACCACGAGATCCCTGCCACACCACCGGAGGGATACCATGAATGGCTAAGTTAATGGTCTTAGAAAAATAATCTAAAAAAGCGCGATAAGGAGATACCCAGTCCATGCCTAGAATCACATCGAAATTAACCATGTCAAGAAATATAAGGTCAGCCCGGGTATCACGCCTCTGGATAGTAACTAAGCAAGAACAAAATACCTGATCCACAACTAAACACTCACCCACGGGGGTCGACACACGCAACGACGCTACCAGAGGCTCAGATATCATACTCAATCAAGAGGCATAATAAACAGAAACATACGAAATAGTAGAGCCTGGATCAAATAAAGCCAAGGCGGGCAGCTGGCAAAAATGAATAGTACATGTGATCATATCGTCTGATGCCTTAGCCTCCACCCTCGCTGAGCTATATAGAAATGGCCATTTCTGCCTCTGCCCTACCCATAAAACCTACGACCTGTCCAGCCTCATCGGGGACGACCCCGTATACCCTGCTAACAACCTCTACAGTCATGACCCTAACCACGACCTCTAACTGGAGGTGCTGGTAAAGCTTTGGGAGCTGCACGAGGACCGGGAGTAATCCGACTATGCCTAGCCCTCTTCTCGCTGCCCCTTTGGGACTCGCGACGAAGATACTCCATACTACTAGTATGGTCAACTACATCTAAAAAAGATCGACCCGCAGAAACTAAGGATTGGGTCTCAAGCCAAAGCTACAATCTCAACCCACAAACAAAGCCCCTAACTATCTCCTCCTCTGTAGGTAATATCATCTCGGCATGACGGGAGAGCTCCTGGAACCTAGTCATATTCTTAAACTTTTATCTAAAATGATCGTTCAAGGTTCATAAGCTCCAAAACATAAAAACTCGCACCAAGACCAAACGAACGACCAGGTGACCGAACTGTCAGTCCCAACAAATCATAAATGACTTGGGGTCGCTAGAGGAGGTCTCTAAACGACACACAGAAGGCAAGACACAGAAATGATCTCGAGGGTCATTACAATATCTACTACTAAAAAGGACTTTCATCGGCGAAAGTAAGGGTCAAGAAGTACCTGAAGGCTCAAACAAGCTGGGAAACTGCTCTAGCATCTCCTACTCGTTCACCCAGGTAGCCTCCTCGACTGGACGATGCCTCCAACGGACCTTAACAACAGGAATGGCTCTCGAGCGCAATCTCCTCACATCCCTGTATAAAATGGCAACTGGCTCCTCTACAAAAGTAAAACAATCATCCAACTCGTCTGCATCATACTGGAGCACATGGGACTCATCAGGAACATACCGCCACAACATTGAGTCATGGAAAACCGGGTGGATTGTTGAAAATGCTGGAGGTAGGGCCAACTCATAAGTAATCTCCCCAACTGTCCGGAGTATCTCAAAAGGCCCAATGTATTTGGGGCTAACCTTTCCCCGCCTCCCAAACCTCATCACGCCCCTCATGAGCGACACCCGGAGGAATACCCGATCACCAAGAGAGAATCTCAAAGGTCAGCGCCTCCTATCTGCATAACTCTGGTGCCTACTCTGAGCCGTCCTGAGCCTATCCTGAATCACCCTCACCTGATCCAAGGCCTCCTTAAGCAAGTCTGTACCACGCGGCCTAGGCTCTGTAGACTCAAACCAACCAACTGGAGAGCGACAATGCCTACCATATAATGCCTCGAATGGGGCCATCTGAATACTAGAGTGGTAGCTGTTGTTGTACGCAAACTCCGCCAAAGGTAAGAACTGGTCCCACTGACCTCCAAAATCCATAACACAGGCCCGCAACACATCCTCAATGACCTGAATAGTATGCTCCGACTGACCATCCGTCTGCGGGTGGAAAGTTGAGCTAAGGTCAACCCGAGTGCCCAACTCATCCTGAAAGGTCCTCCAAAAGCTGGACTTGAACTGAGAACCCCGATCTGATATAATAGAAACTAGCACCCCATGAAGTCGAACCACCTCCCGAATGTAGATACGAACCAACCTCTCAGCGCTAAATGAAGACTGAACAGGAAGGAAGTGTGCTGACTTGGTCAATCGATCAAAGATGACCCAAATGCTGTCAACACCTCTAGAAGTCTAAGGAAACCCCACAATGAAGTCCATAGTTATACGCTCCCACTTCCACTCCGGAATGGGTAATATCTGAAACTCACCACCATGCCTCAAATGATTGGCCTTTACCTGCTGGTAGCACAAGCAACGGGAAACAAAGTCAGCAATATCTCTCCTCATGCCACTCCACCAGTAATGCTGCCTCAAATCACGATACATCTTCGCAGTGCCCGGATGGATAGAGTATCTAGACACATGGCCCTCAGAAAGTATCAATTGTATCATATCCCCAACAGTCGGAACACAGATGCGGCCGTAAAATCTCAACATTCCATCAGGATCTAAGGTTGCCTGACCACCATCACCCGCTAATACTCGATCTCTAATGACCACCAAGGTCTCATTCTCAAACTGACAACCACAGATCTTATCAAGCAAGGAAGACTGAACTCCCATATGGGCCAAGCCACGTCTGGGATCTGAGATATCCAACTGAAACATGCTATTTGCTAAGAACGGAATGTCCATAGACAAGGGTCGCTCCTCAACAGATAATAAGGCTAGACTACCCATACTCACCACCTATCGGCTCAAGGCGTCCGCTACAACTTTTGCCTTGCCTGGATGATAGAGAATAGAGAGGTCATAGTCCTTCAGGAGCTCAATCCAACGACGCTGCCTCGAATTAAGGTCCCTCTGGCTCATGATGTACTGAAGACTGCTGTGATCGGTAAAGATCTCACATCGAACTCCATACAAGTAGTGCCTCCAAATCATATGCGCGAAAACTACCGCCGCCAACTCTAAGTCATAGGTGGGGTAGTTGCGCTTATGAATCTTAAGCTCCCTCGACGCATAAGCAATAACCCGACCCTGCTGCATCAATACACAACCCATACCAAGGCCGGATGCATCATAATAAATCATGCAGCCCTCGCCCTCAACTGGAAGTGTCATTATAGGAGCGGTGGTCAATAACTACTTGAGCCTCAAAAAGCTCGCCTCACACTCCTCTGACCAAACAAAGGGAACATCAACACGAGTCAACCGGGTCAAAGGTGCTGCCAAGGTAGGTACACCCTCCACAAATCATCTGTAGTAGCCTGCTAGTCCGACGAAGCTCCGAATCTCAGTAACTGAGGTAGGCCTAGCCCAATCACGAATACCATCAATCTTCTCCAGATCGACCATAATGCCCTCCTTAGATACAACATGCCCTAAGAACGCTACAGAGTCTAACCAAAACTTGCACTTTGAGAACTTGGCATAAAGCCGCTGATCTCTCAAAGTCTGGACCACCACTCTCAAATGCTGCTCATGATCACCCCTACTCCGCGAGTATATAAAAATGTCATCAATGTAGACTATGACAAAGGAATCAAGATGAGGCCTGAACACGCGCGTTATCAAGTTCATAAAGGCGGCAGGGGAATTAGTCAACCCAAATAACATCACCAAGAACTCATAATGGCCATAAAGAGTCCTAAATGCAGTCTTAGGATGTCCGCTGCCCTAATCCTCAACTGGTGGTAACCGGACCTCAAATCAATCTTAGAGAACACTGAAGCTCCCTATAGCTGATCAAATAGGTCATCGATCCTAGGCAGAGGATATCGGTTCTTCACTTTCACCTTATTCAACTGTCTATAGTCAATGCACATGAGCATAGTACCGTCCTTCTTCTTAACAAAAAGAATGGGAGCGCCCCAAGGTGATACACTAGGTCAGATAAATCCCTTACCCAAGAGATCCTGAAGATGAACACTGATCTCCTTGAACTCTGCACGAGCCATCCTATATAGCGGAATAGAAATAGGACGAGTACCTGGCTCAAGCTAGATTGGAAAATCAATATCACACTATAGGGGTAGGCCAGGTAGGTCAGTAGGAAACACATCTAAGAAGTCATGAACAACAGGAACTAACTAAACCGGAGGAACCTCCCTACTCAAATCACGTACATAGGCCAAATA